GGCTTTCTGTACCTGTGAAGGCTTAGACGTTACCATTTACTTTCTGTGGCATCTTTATTAGAAGTCATTGCCTAGAACAGAGGATATATTGGTTAGTTATAACCTGTTAGTGGGCTATAATTATTTTTTCAAGCTCAAGATTATTTACTAACAAACACTGAGGACTGTAACAAAAATACGAGTTTTGCTTTGCTGGGCTAGTATTTGGAGGACATAAAGTGTTGCTATTTGGGTCAGATGTTAGAGGACATTCCTGCTGCATGCTTCTGCAATATGCTAGGCAGGGGATTTAGTGATGAAGAATACCAGCAAAGCATCAAGACCAGTTTAGAATTACTAGCAAGACATTTCAGATTCTTACTCTTGGTAACGTTACCTTTTATATATTGCAAGAAATTGAAACTACCAAGATAATTCAGCTGTAAAATATGTCACAACTATTCTTTTCTGGGGTTGGACACGCATTGCCAAAGGTTTTGGTCAATAGCTGCCCTGTCTTGTCTAAATGGTGGGTCATAAAACTGGCAGCAAGTGTCTTCCACAGCACCTGATGAGGCCCAGAAGCTGATAATACTGATAGCTTTTGAAAGCTTTGAGCAAAGTGTCTTTCTAAAGATGAGCAAGTCTTTCGACAAGCTTAATTTATGTAAATTTGCATGTTTTTCTTTTTAACCCATAATTCCCTTGTTTTTGTTGTTTCGTTGGAGCTTTCTCATTACTTGAATTAATGCAGTAATTAATTAGATTAGTATTTTTATCCTGCTAGTCCTCTGAAAGGCATGGAGGAATAAGGCAAGATGTGGTCATGAAAAGGTCTGAAAACTGAAAAGTTAATGGATTTAGAGTTTAGACAAGTCCAGGTTAGCAAAGGTTTTCATAGCATGTAGATCTGAGTCTGGGATCTTGTCTGGTGCTCACCTGGGAGCTTTTTGAGCACTGTGTGTGGGAACATGTGGGTTGAGGTGGAAGTAGGGGTGGAAGACTCCTGATTTGCACAAATTTAGCTGAATCTACACAGAGGAATAATGGAGTGAGGAGGCACCCCTGAATCACTGGTTCAGAGCAATCCCAGCAGCCAGGACTGCTGTGATCAGCACCAGTCGTGAGGCTTGTCCTCATTCATTCCTTCCCTTACTTCTCCCTTCCCTTTGAAACTATTACTTGTCTCCCCCACTTTCAGAGCAGGGTTAATCAAGGTATCTTTTCCAGTGCTGGAGTGAACCCAAGCAGCATGTGTTCGCCTTCAGAGGGCAGCACAGCTCGGCAAAATGTTCAGAGGTGCTTTTTGATTCCTCAGCTCCCAGTAGGTTTTTCTGTCAGTCCGGAACAAAAGGAGATTGTGCCCCTCAGGACAGCTCCATCAGACAGTGCAGTCTAATGGGCTTACTAAAATGTTGGCAACAACAAGTTAATGTTTTAAAGCCTCATCGTGCTTCGTGGCCTCTTTCCAAGCAAAGTATTATTTATCTTTTCCCTTCCTCCCTATGGTAATTAGCAAGATGCTATGCTGAAAATGGAGTGGCTGCTTCCTGCTTTCTCCCTCCTGCTGATGTGCAACTTTTTTATATTCCATCTAAAGAGCATCATCTCCACTGTTTGAAGAAATCTGTGCTGAATTAAAAAGTTCATCAGAACCAGATGCACTCAGAAATGGACATTTCACCCCACACCATTTCCTGTCCCTCTGAAACAGAACCAAGGCAAAAATGTCCATTTCTTCTCAGGATGACATATGAAGTCTCCTTGTAGGATTGGCAATGCTGCTTTCAACAAGCAGAAGCCAATCTCCTAGTGAAATTGCTTCAAGAGCACAAGATGAAAGCATGAGATTAAAAAATAATGAAGTATAGGTCTTTGTTTTCTGGCTTTAGAGACCCTGGGGCTCAACTTTTGAAGCTCACTTAAGGGCAAGAATGGTCTCTTCTTAAGAGTTGCATGCTGATATACTGGCGTATTTATTTATCTTCAGAGTGTAGAGCTTTAAGGAAATACCAAATATTGTAGTGTCAATGAAAAATTAGGGATGAGATTTAGATCCCAGCAGGTGGCAGTTGCTTCCGCTGTAAGGAGCACTGAGCACTACCAAAATCTGCCATACCCTCATCTCTTTTTCTCTTAAATAAGTTGTGCCACTAAAAAGTAAGGCAGACCATGAGAAAAGCCATGCCATAGCCCGTGTCGGGGAATTCAATACATGTGAGAAAGATCTCATACTGATATAAGCTGTTTCTCCCAATAGTACCATACCAGTGCCAAAGGTATGGATAGCAAGAAACATTAACTAATGCACCCAATGAATTGCACTGCAGTTCTTTAGAAAATTAACTAATCAATATTGTTTCAATTATTTAGCTGGTTGGACTCACAGATAAAAAAACTGGATGATACAGCTGGTAAGGAGTTGTCCAGGCTTTTATACTAAATATTTATGTGAGATCATGACTTCTGTTTTAGTTTCCGTGTGTTTACTGTTTTCTGTGCACAAAGAGTTTAAATCCTCAGTTAACCTCTGGGCTTTTTTTTCCCCCTTTTCTCTGAGTATTTTCTCTCTTGTTAAAAGAAAAATTCTTGGCCAAAATGATTTCTATCATTTTCCATATGACTTAAAACTAAAAGTAATTAGACAAGCTGGTTGTTTGAAGTTCTGTTTAACCTGAAGATACGTTTTCTGGCTGACGTGGTTAATTCATCATCTGAATTACCAAGAGCCACTGCGCATGTTCAGCGTGTTTCCAGCCAGGCTCTGCTCTCCAGGACTTTGTCTGTGGTTTTTGTCTTTTATTGTTATTAAGTAGTCGGGGATTGCATAGGCCCCTTAATGAATGAGAGTAAGAATATGTATTTAATTGGTTCCATAAGATGACATGACAGAGCTAGACAGGTTTGCTACAGTTAAAAAATAAAAAAAATAAAAAAGCCAGTTTCTGATTTCAGTTGCATCTTCTTATCTCAGTAAATTCAAATGAATTGCACTGGTCTTATTCCTGTCTAGTGAAAACATATTAAAAAATCAGCACAAATGTCTGTCCCCAATACATCTGAGTACTTGGTCGGGTTTATGTGCTTTACCAGGATTTTTGGTCATATCTAAATACCTAAAAACATGTAACAGTGAAAGTATTACTGAACATGCTCTGAATTAACTCATCTGTGTAAATTTATCTCTAGGATAAGGTGACTTAAAACCCAGAGACAACTGTCCTCTTTATCCATGCTATGGTGTTTACTTACTAGGAAGAGCGACTTTAACGGTATGAATCAGATAGAAAGCAGCCAAATGGTGGTGATGGGTGGTGGTTTTGCTTTTAAATTACCGAAATCAAAGGGCTCTCGTAAAGAGACTGTGTAAGCAGCAGTACGAAGTCTGGCTTACTCATCACACCACAGCGAGCAACTAGTGCTCTGACTCCGAAATAGAAAGTGAACTCCCTCTGCTGTCATCTTCTCTTCTGCTGGGAGAAACTCACATGGCGTCTTCTCAAACCAACAGCCTGTTGCAAATTGGTTTTGAACAGGGCAGCTCATGTTCAAGTACTTGTCAGCCCCTCCTAGGAAATTTAACTGCAGTCAGTCTGACTTTTTACTGTTGTGGCCTCCTTGGTTAACAGAAACAAAAGATTTTTTTTTTTTTATATGGGAAGTATTTAATTTTTTTTATATTGTGGGTGTGGATTTATGACTGTTATTTAGCTAAGACTAAGGTTGGGCTCCTGATTTTATATTGAGATTTCTGATGTGACATTCTCTCATCCTGTATGTTGAATCTTTAACTCGTGATAATTACATTTTCTTCCTTTTTCCTCAGCATCTCATACTGAAAATGACCGTGCTTTGAACTCAGTGAGACCTGTGTTCATTCAATGGTTCTGAAAATGAAGAAAGAACAAGTCCTTTGCATGAGCTAGTTGAATCAGCATTTCATTTTTTTAGAAATGTGAGTACAGATGGCATTCCAGTTTTCCCAGCTGAAGTCAGCCCTTGTCAGTCACTTGTTCTGACAGGAGCACCAGGGGAAAAAAAAAAGAATAATAAGGAAAAACACTCATGACCATTTTATTGTGGGACATGAATTCTGGGAGGGGAATATTTGCCAGTAGGTTTGCTGGTTTGTTTTTTTTTTTTTAAATGGTTGAATGTGAAGCTGACTTTCTTGAGATTCTTGTTGCTGAGATTTCTGTAGAAAACCAAATTTGTCTCAATATAATGGCTCAGTTACTGAATACTGAGCCCAAAGTAATAAATGAATGGATGACCCTCCTCATGAAGCTACGCTGATTTGTACTGTTATGCAAGGTTTTACCTTTCTTCTGATCTCCTGGTAATTACAGCCCTAAAAGCTTGTAGACGTCATGCATCTTGCGTGCACTGGCTGCGTTTAGGCATATAAAGATAAGAATGTAATTACAATGGAGATTTCGAGCCTTACTTTGCCAAAACTTTGCCATCTATGGCAGCAGCAGCTTTTTGCTAGAAGGCTGGAGATGAAAGCCCAGAAACCCAGAACTAATGCAGTGCCAGGCTGTTCCAAATCTTACATGGGTTTTGTGCTCATATTTTCCTCAGGTATTTGCAAAGCATTGGGGTTTCAAGGCATTCAGCACAGAAGGGGTTACGTCCCCATCTGCACTCTGCAATCCAGGCTCTCCTTTACCAATGTGCCAGAGCCTTTGCAACGGAGGTGTTGCTGACACACGGAGAGGTATTAACTAATGTGCCCACCAAGGGCTTGTGGCATTTCACCCAAACCCTTCCTCTCTCCTGGTTCCCCGTGGCTGCTTGCAGCTGCAGTCATTGCGCTGACAGGGGAAGCTGACGGTTCATGCAATCACCTCTTCTACTGACTAATTTGTTTTTCAGCATTTTCACCGACTCTGAACAGGCCAAGGACTTCACAGAGCTGATCACACCTGCTGCACCAGTGGTTTTCTACAAAACCAGCCTTCAGGCAGATGACAGTTATTTTTGTACTCTGAAATACTAAACTCCATTTTGAACACAAGTTTAAGAAAAAGATTTTTATTTGTTGCTTAGAGACAAAATCAATATACAGTTTGCAATTACAGAAATTATTGAGCCCCACTTAAAACTGAGGTTGTAAAGGTAAACATTATATTGGGTACTGTACACAAGCAAATAACCTCCAGAAATAAACGCAGAACATTAACAGTATGTAATTACAGTGGCTTTCAGCCATAAGGCTTTTGTGCATTAAGAGGTAGGGGAAGTCAGCTCTGTGAAGACTGAATAGATAAAGTACATAAAGAGACATATCGGGTATCTACTGCAGATTATACACAGTCATCCTCTGGGAAGCTGATGTATTTTTGGAGGATCACATAGAATCTGGCCAGAATCTAACATCATATTGAAAGCTTCTGAACTTGCAGAAAGGCATCCATTAGTTTCAAGCACCTAAAACCTCTAAGTCCTGACACACTTCACATTCTCAGTAACTAAAATGGCACCAGACTATATGTTTTAAAAATTCTTTTTAAATGTGTCACCTAAAGTTGTAATTAATTTCTTCTCCTCCTCCTCATTCAAAAGCTGCAAGTTCTTTGGCTAATGACTGGAAGGGGTTACTTTTGTTTAAATAGCTTAATCCTTTCTCTATTAATAAATGTCTCTAAACAAATGTTATCTGACCTTCTAGTTCAGGACAGAAATGGGTAAACTCAGCTGTTCAGGAACATGTCTTTTGGTGCCCAGAAGTATTTTATTAAGATAGCTTTGAAAAGCAAGACTTTAGGGAGGAATACCTTTGCGTGTATACTAGGATGCTCTTGCATAAGGAATGGCTGGATTATTTTAAGTTATCACACCAGGGGGCTGTCAACACAGTGAAACCCATGCAAGGATGCATACAGGGTGATCCCATGCTTTAAAAGGCACAAGTTTCTTCCCAGAGTATTTCTAGTCCAATTTAAAAAGATTTCTTCTGCCTACAGTTAAGATTTTCCCAGTTATTAAAGATTAGGTCAATCTCAGGAAAGAAAAAATAAATTTCTCCTCAGTTTTTCTGCAGTTATTTTAATGGGAAAGGCAGAATCTCATTCAAAGTTACTAGGAACTGAGGACAGGAGCATTAACTTCCCACATCAAAATACAACTCATTCAGCAGCAAAGCGTTCATTGACTACAGCAGGAGCTGGTGTGCAAATGCGAAGTTCTCTTTTATGGAGAAGCGTATCTGCCGAGGAAAAGGATGCTTTGTGTTGGGTTGTGGCGAATAAAGAACAGGAAAGGGTGGTCAGCATTGAACTCCTCCTCCATAATCATGCAGAGCATAGCAATGCCAGCAGTGGCAGCTGCCGCTTCCGTGCCTTCCTCGTTGACTTCTACAAAAGCCTTGTGGACAACTTTAGAGAGGAAGAGGTCACGTGCCCCTGATATCCCTGACAAGTCGGCCTTGCTGCCATCAAACACATCCACCAGGCCCAGGGCGGCTAAATCTGATCTAAGGTCATAGCTTGCTTCTAGCTTAAACTTTGGCAAGTGCACACGAACATCGCTGGAATACAGATGCTCTGGGCATGTCCATTCCTGGAGCTTCTCTAAGGTAAGCTGCTTTTCCAGCTGGAATGAAAGAGACAGGGATCATTAAATATCACCAGTGCAGAAATACTTCATTTTCAGTAACATTTACAAGGCTTTATAGGGCACTATGCAACTATAAAGCAACTATACAAAATTGACTATACCCATATCTTTCATAGCTCCATATAGATCAAACAAATGCTATTAAAATTAAGTAGAGTCGGTGCAGTTTTTACTTCACAAAGTAATGCAGACACTTGCTTCTTGCTGCAATGTCCAGAAGGGAAAAACATGCGCTGATAGCAACTAAACCCAGTCATTCTTACTGTTTAATCTAACTAAATGCAATTACATAATTAAAAACAAGTAACAAAATCAATCATCAGAGAGCTCAAAGAAGTGGATTTGTTCCCGGTCATTTAATGAGAAACAGTCTCACTACTTTAGGGCTAAGAAAATAGAGACTTTCAAGGGTAATGAAAGAAAAGTTCTGTCATTAAAGATGGCAAGGCAAGATAATTCTCATAGTTTAAGTTTGTTTTCCCAGTCTCCCTCAGGGCTGAGTTCAGCGAGCCCATGAACACAACTAAGAAAACCAGAACACAACTTACAGAATCATAGAATGGTTTGGGTTGGAAGGGACCTCAAAGATCATCTAGTTCCAACCCCCCTGCCATGGGCAGGGACACCTCCCACTAGAGCAGGTTGCTCAAGGCCACATCCAGCCTGGCCTTGAACACTTCCAGGGATGGGGCATCCACAGCTTCTCTGGGCAACCTGTTCCAGTGTCTCACCACCCTCATAGTAAAAGATTTCTTCCTGCTGCAGCACATGCACGTGTTCTTCACTGCAGTGCTAACAGCACTGTCTAGAAAAATGCTTTGATAGATACGGGGCTCTGAGAACATGGGTTCACCAAGGCTTTCGTTTTAAGTGGTTGCACTTATCCATTAAATTACTGCATTAGCTTAGATGGGTCACCTTCTGCAGTCCCGTGGAGTCATCTTCAATGTCATCAGGTAACAGGATGATCATACTAAGTTCTCTTCCATCATAAGGCAGCTCTAAAATACGCAATTTCTCTTCAGGAATATACCCAAAACGGAATTTCTTTTTCTGATACATCATTTTCACTGTCTTGGTTTCATTCTGGAGGGACACAAGGTACAAAAAGTAAAAGTTAAGAAAATACTAATTTTAAGTACCAATAGGAAATAAGTTAAAAATTGCTTTCTTGCAGAAACTTTTCCTCCATTGTATCAGGTGATTACAAAACTGCCTTCATCAGACTCCTGACTGCCAGTTTAATAACAGCTTCTTCTCAAGACATAATGTGTTTGTATTATATTTGGTTCTCTTTTAGCTTCTATACCACAGTCCTTGCAGAAACCAAAACGACTGCTTTGAGTTGCTGTACCTTTATGTTGTTCTAGCGCCAGAAACGACAGCGTTAAGAGTCAACAAAGATCAACTCTGTTCAGCACAAAGCAGATGAATGCACACTCTCTTGTAAAGCTGTTCACATAAGCAGAACATAGAACAAGAAAATAGGGCTTAACCACAACATGCAAACACTTTAATACTGTTTACCCACCATCACAAAGAGGCACAGTTCACTGTGCCTGACACTGCTAGCAGACAGAAACCCAGGCAGGGTCCAAAATCTATACATAAGAATTTTGTCTCTGATGCTATTCCAGTAAGTAAGTGAGAGAACAAATATCGCTTGCTGAATACAGAAAACTACTGAAATCAATAAAAAACCCTTTGGGTGAACTTAAAACATTCAAGCAAGACTTCAGGTTTGGTTTTTTTTTTTTTTATCATTCTGTCTGTAAGCAGAACTTCACTTTAGCACCTATATTATTTGACCTTTTTGTTACATGTACTACCAAGATATATCTGTATTACCTTATTTAACCGAAACGGCATGTCAGTGGTCTCAGCTGCTTCAAATTTCTCTGCCCAGTTCCCTTTGAAATAAATAGCATTCACCAGTACAAGCCTGGTCGAGACATCAACTGAGCCTTCAGACAGCAGGTTAGGGATTTTGCCTTCAGAGGGGGCACACAAAAAAAAAAAAAAAAAAAAAGTCACAATAAAATCTTTTAATACATGAAGAAACTGATGCCATAGAAAAACTACAAGTTCAGTACGTGTCTCTCTACTTCACCATACTTTTTGATAGTACACATGACTGTAACTTTTGATATACAGCAATTTGATGAAAATGTAGTATTTTTAGCTTCAACGGTCACATGTGACTCCTCATACAAGAACTAGAAAACACCCACATTTAGGATGACTGGGTTTAGAAATATATATACAATATGGACAGGGACTGTCTGAAACAAATTCTCCAACTCATGAGTATAAAACTCATCAGATGCCTAAACATAAGGCATCTCTCCTGCACTCATCAGCCTGAACACAAATAACGGAACAGCCTCAGGACTTATGGTACTGTTTAAACGTCTTGCTTAAGTATTTTCTGGTTCTGTCAACGCATCAAGTGAATATCCCAGGGCAAAATTAAATTATTCTAAAGGTGGCAGGAAATAAAGCCTATTCCTGCTCCCAAATTATGAAACACAGCCAGTTACTTTATTAACCAAAGTAGTTTACCTTCAGTTTTCTCCTCTACCCACTGGTTAATTTCTTTCCTGGCTTCCTCACAAGCCTGAAGAAAATCAACTGTAGCCAAATCAGCTCCATATAATTTCTGAGTATTAGTCAGGAAATCCTAGATTTTGGAACAATAAGAATAGCTTTCAGTGCATGCAGATAAGAAAACATTTCTTTATGATGTAGATAAGGCACACGTCAAACAGATTATCACCCGCCCTGAGGTGGGGTTCTAACAGTGCTCTGCCTGGGGGTGTTCTGGGGTTGGGTTTTTTTCCCCTTCCCAGAGTAAGCCTCATAGCAGAGCTGTCACGTCTAGACCTGATGAGGTGCTCACTGCAGGTGTTGCAATATTTACCTGTCATTCTCCTGAAACAGGCTCAAGCACAGCTAGAATAAAACAAAACTCTCCGAAAGAGCTGAAGAGGGATAAAAATAGCTACCTAAGTACACACAAAGGTATAAGTCACTGGGGAAAAGGCACGTTGTCTAAACATGTTGGGCATCCCCTCCCAAATAAATACAGTGTTTTCAAAACTATTTAAGCAATGTGGTACTAGACCAATGAAAATCCTAAGAAGATGATTGCAGCAGACACAGAGCTGGTTGCATCCTACAAAGCTGGTTGCAACAGAGTGGGATGTTATGGTAGTTACTCTAAACTAAGAACCTAGACAAGTCATTTTTCGCTTGAGCCCAAGCCCATCAGAACCAAACAAGCAATGAAAAGGACTTGCTGTGTAACATGGCTTAGGTGAGATGCACAGATGTCTAGGGGTATGGAAATGCACATGCACGTATGCAATGCTTTTGTCGACTGCCCAGTAACATTTAGAAATATGCCTAGAAATATTTCTACTTCAAAAATAGTCAAATAGCTGCATTTTCCCACCAGGTTCCACCACACCACCAGGATCTGCACCAGCGTACCGGCAAAAAGCTGTAGGACTTCTCTCCAAAAAGCCTGTTGGCAAGCCGTAAGAGATAGGGAGCATTGCTTCTGTTTATATCCGCAGTCAGGGTCTGAAATCTTGAATGAATATCTTCAACTTCGTCAAAATGAAGCGTCTGAAATAAAAGAAGTGAACAAGCTGCTGCTTATACTGTCTCTGAAGAACATACAGTATATCTATAGGGTGGGTCTGATCCAGCTGGTAGGTAGGCTGAAGAAAGAGAAAAGAAGAGGCTGGAAGGTGCTTAGAGACTTCTCTACACCTCAAAGAATGAAGCTGTGGCTGCCTGTATCCACCACTTGTATTAAGCTCCTGGTTTACAGGCAGTCACAGCTGAAGCTGTTGATGATAACCCCCAGGGGTCCTGCCTGGGTGAGGTCTGTGTGATTCCCCTCTGTGGGGCACCTGGCACAAGGACTCATTCCCAGGTGTGGACCTGAAACGACAGATGATACCACAGAGACCACTTCACCTTTCTTGCTTCCCCCTTTGGCCCAAGGGAAGCTGAGGTTCTGCTTTTCAGAACGTACAATCAAATCTGGCACAGGGCTTATCTGAGCACTCAAGAGAGGCGAGGTCTTAAGAAAACCTAGAACAATTATCTTTTATGGTTTTATGAAAATATAACCGGTTATATACACATGTAATTGTATCTTCCTAACAATTAAATGCATTACTGCAGTCTCTCTCTACTAGTACCTCCTCCTTTCCCAGAGGCAGGCTGGCCAGCCAAGCCTTACAGAGACGACAGCGGAAGCTGCCAGACCTCATTGAGAGGGAAGACTAGACCAAAGTAGGAACATGCACATTAAAACCTAAATCCTGCATTTCTCAGCAGTGAAGCCCAGTGTGAAACAGCCACTGGATCCAAAGGAAAGCCCTCGTTTTATCTCACTGGGTTTTTGGTCAGACCTTGCTGTCCACGTTACTGCAAGCTGTGCTGTGCATACAGGCAGCTGAGCAAAACATCACGGAGGCAACTTACAATAGGGTTATGATCACAGAAACAAATTTCTATATGCTTGCAAACATCCCTTGACAGTTACCAATCACTGTGTCCCTAATTAGCTATGGTTTCATAAGTAAAGCCTTAGGGAATGGGAACATGCATTATTGAAGGTGACTATGCTGAAACACATTTTTTCCCCCCCAAGTTCCTTTTGCATGATTTCTGCTGTCAGTAGGTTTATCTTAGGCGGGGCTGTCTGATTACATGAATTATATGTTCAAAGTCTGTTTGTACAAGTAGTGAGAAAATCATTTTATTGTCTTACTCAGTAAGCACAGTACCCCTCAACAGTGTAAAACTGCTCCTCCTAAAGTCCAGAATACAAAGGTGAAATTATTCACAGGCAAATACATGGTGATGACTGCAACCAGAAGCCTCATCTGCCCTTTTGCACTACCGGGTGTTAGCCTAACAAAGGGAAAAAATAATAGCCACTGAGTCCTTTCAGGGCAGGAGGCCTCAGGGGAAACTGGCACACTCCTATCTACACCATTTTTGCAATTGGTAATTAGGTGTTTTTAAAACTATTGCAACCTCACTTAAGGCTATGGTAAGAATAAGCATATGTGCTCAGCTCCTCCAAGATACCCGAGTGCCTCGCTGTTACCAACTGACAGATACTTAGGTAGCATCATCATGTAATATCATACTTGTCATGTTTTAAACATAAAACTATGTATTATTATTATTGTGTTTCTTACAAAATACACAGTGTTATTAGCAATAAGTGTACCATTTGCAACTTTGTATTACAAAGCAATAGTTCCTTATCAAAATGGCTCACAAAAACTCATACGGCCTTGCTGCTGGAAACTCCAATCAATTTAAATGGAGACTGATTAATTAATGAAATTAGTTTCGTACTTCAACAATTAACTTAATAAGTGAAATTAACTGAGAAACAGGGGCCATCACAAATATGGGAAGAATGGAGCCCAAGGAAGACTCAGTGAGCCTGACAGAAATCTTGTCCTGAGCACATAAAAATAGTACCCTCCTCTCATTTTTGCTGCTCCAAAACACAACAATTTTCCATGTAAATAAAATATAAAGCACAAGAGAATTTTTTTTTTCCACTAACCTTCAGCACCTGTGCCCCTGTGTTCCCTTTGGCCCCTAAAAGGACCATGGCCAGGGCTGCAGAGACACTGACAGGGGAGAAGAAAACATTTCCTGTTGGGTTGACTTCGTTGAACCTTCTGAAGAGATCGAGTGCAAATCTGCTGTTGGCGTTACGCAGGTTCTCCATGGTTATAGCTGGAAAACAGACAAGACACTAAGGACCACGGGAAACACTCATAAAAAAAAAATAACCTAACCCTGCGTGACTCACAGAGTCTGAATTAATCCGGTTGCAGCTGGGTACAGAAACAGCAACAATTTAATTGTCAGAGCATCTTCTCCATTTTCAAAAAAAAAAAGCAGTCACATTGAAAAAGCATATTTTTTCCCCACATGAATTGTATATCCCAACTTTCCCTATCTTTAAAGACATTATTTAAGAAAATCCCTTGCCTTCTACCTTGAAATGGGAAGTCTATGTGCTGGCAGGATTGCTAGTTAAGCCTTTCAGTCTTACAGACCCAGAGAGCTCGCTCACACAGCCTTCCCCCCCAAGGTCTTCTACCCCAATCCCGCACGGAAAGCACCCGCAGTAACAGCTCGGGGAGGTTTTGACACCTTTCTGCAAGCTGCCCCGTCTTCATGGCACAAACCGCGCCACAAAGAGGTGTCAATCCTGCCGAAGGCTTAAGCATAGGCTTACCTTCAGCTGTGTAAAGCACCACTATTTCCACCAGCCCTCTCTCTGTGTGGAGAACAAGTGAGTTACCTACCCACAGCATCCAGCTACACCTGCATCCCGAGGGGGCCGAGCAGCCCTGAGCGCATGGGCAAGAGAGCCCGGGGGTTTGGCTACCTGAGAGCGACGTACCGGCTAGCGAAGGCAGAAGGGAAGAGCAGAGGAGACAGAGCTTCAGGGCTGACACCGGGCCACCGGAGCAGTGATTCATTTTAGCGAGATGCCCTCCACGCCTTGGCCCTTGGAGTGGGGTGGGGAGAAGGGTGGGAGGGCTGGCTCAGGTGTCCAAACCTCCCCAAGGGCTCCCGGCAGCATGGCTCTGCTGGAACACCTTCCTGCTCAGGGCCCTGCTCCTCCCTGCAGCGGGGCTTTGGGATTTGGCAGTTTCCAGCGTGTTTCCCCCTCAAGGAGTTTCATTTTAGACACAGGGATTTGGGCGTCTGCCCCCAGCCAGCAGGACAGCAGCCCAGTAATGCTCTTCCAACCACCATCCAGCCCCAGGCACTGGAATTGGGGCAGTCCCAGCACAGTCTGTCTGTAGGAATCACCACGTAACACTATCTCCCTCCCCCGCCAAGACGACAAACGCCCTACAGCCTTGCAACGCGCTCTTCCCCCGCTCTAGGCTAAAAAAAAAAAAGAGCCCCTCAAAAATAAGCGCCGAAAAAACCAACAAACAGAACAAACCAAACCAAGCCCAAACGCAAACCCGAGGGGACTGTCACTTTCTGTTCCTCTCACCCCCGCGCTGCGCAACGGCTTCCACTCACACCGCCCGTCCCGCAGCCCCAAGGATGGGAAAGGGGGGGAACAAAAGAATAAAAACCTGCTTTTCCTCCCGTTATTATCCCATTCCGCCCACCGTTGGGAGTCCCCCCACTCCCCTCCTCCCGCCCCACCGAGCCTGGTACCTGCCCGGCCCGGCGCGCAGCTCCCCGCGGCCGGCGGAGCCCCCGGGCGGGGCAAGGGGCGGAGCGGACCGGAGCCCCGGGGAGACCGGATTTCCCGGGGAAAATAAAACCTGCATCAAGCCCGCTCCGCCCCGGTGACAGCACCGAGCCCCGGCGACGTCCCCCCTCCCGGTGATAAAGGTTTAGGCTTCGCCACCTCCGAGCAAGGGCCACCCCAAACCTCACCGTCAGAAAATGGCACGTTTAGCAATTAACTCCACGCAGAAGCTGGCTGTGCTCTGTCAAGAAATAACTGTTCTCTTCATATTGCAATTTTTTTTAAAAAAGCAACATCATTTACAGTTGGGGAAAAAAATGGAGCAACCCTACAGCACTTTCAGTTCTTTTATTGTGTCAGAAACAGAACAAATCACTGTCTTAGGAAAGTTGTATCAGCTAGGTCTTTGGTATTATAGTTAAACTAACATGTTTCAGGCACTGCAAATAGGAAAAATATATAATAGCAAAAAAAATAAAGCTTTGTCATTTAACTATTCCATAGGCACCATATGCTCTTTGATTACATTCTTGGTTAAAGGACTGATAAATAAGGTGGTATGTAATAAAGCCAGGCATCCTGCGGTGATGAAACAAGCACCCTCACCCCCTGACTACCCTGTAAGGACACGTGGTACAAAGATGTGCTTTTATTCTCATTCTTGCCTAAGTGCTTGTCCAGTTATTATGTAAGAAACGCCCCCCCTGTTTAGTCAGGCTGGCTAGCAACATTGGGAACAGACCACCAAAGCCTCCTTTTATCTCTAGGGAATATGTAGTGACATTAAATGGATGACAACTCTGGAATTAAAAAAAAAAAAAAAAAGAAGGAAGGGAGCTAGAGATGTGCTTGTCAGAAACAAAATCAACTTCTTCCTTTCCCATGAGATGTCACTGCCTGACCAGCTGTGGGGTGGCCACAAGAAGTGGAGTGCAACGGGGACTGCAAGGACAGCCGAAGCGGTCACCGAGCCAGTGGGAAGCTCCTTGTGTCAGCAAGAAGCAGAGAGACCTCTGCACACAGGCGCACAGGGCAGGAGAGCTGCTCTAAGGGGCAGTTGCTGTGTACGTTTAAGGGGCTCTGCTATTCTAGTCGAGCCCGAGGTGAAGACCACAGAAGTTCAGGCACACTTGAAAGAGACAATTAGTGCAAAAAGAGTAGCCTTTTTCCTAAAGAAACAGGACATTATTGTGTAATGGTGGCTCTTCTGCCAAGACACCTCCTTTTTAGGGAGAGCAAAATCTGCCACAGAACAAGATGCTCGATGTTTTGTTGTGCCGGATGAAGAAGAGGAATGGGTGATCAGCGGTGAACTCTGGAACGATCATTGCGCAGCGCAACATCATCACTCCTGCCGTGGCAGCAGCTGCCTCAGTGCCTTCTTCGTTGACTTCCACGAAGGACTTGTGAACCACTTCAGAGAGCACCAGCTCGTTGCCAGCTGACATTCCCGAGAAGTCTGCCTTCTTCAAGTCAAACGCATCGGGCATTCCCATGCTGCTCAGGAGGGGCTTCAGATCATAATCTTCTTCCAGTTTAAATCTGGGTAAAGACACCCTTACCTCTGTACTGTCCATCATTTCAGGATTGATCCAATCTATCAGCTTCTCGTACGTAAGCTCTCTTTGCAGCTAAAGCAAAACCCCAAAGTTACATAATTAAAATGAGAAGAGAGTCGGTTTTACACAGCTTAAAGTGGTGATTACTGTGTGTGTTTACACAGTGCATAACATGCGTCTTTCTTCCAGGGTTTAGAGGGTCTCAAGCCAAAAGTGAAGTTATACTTCTTGCTAGAGACTCCAGCCCCAGCTGAGGTCAATCCCATATGCTTCTGGTAGATACAATAAGGATCAGTCCCTTCCACATAAAGTTAACTTTTATAACCACATTAGATTGGTGGAGTTGGGTTTTGTGTTTTGTTTTTTGTTTGGGCTTTTTGGTTTGGTTTTTGACATTTTTAAATATGGGAAGCAAAGACACAGAAGAACTGATGACGATGTCCCTAAGGAGCTGAACTCAGTTTTTCTCTTAACCACAGGATCCTCCTTCAGGTTGACAGGCTGATGAAAAAGTGTGCTCACAATGCCCTTTGCAGTCAGTGTTAGAAAGCCTGATTAATAAATTTCTTGACCAGAGCATGAAATAGCCAAAACTCGTATCATACCTCCACAACAGAAGAGATCTTACAGTTTCCTGTGAGCCTGTTAACCAGTGGTGGGCCAGAGACAATCTGCCAGCTGTTCAGTATGGAAGATCTATGGATTTTCTAAGCACTCCCCTAAATCCCCTCTCACCCTAGATGATGCTCACCACACTATGCTTTCACCATAACTTCAGTTAAGCTCTGCTCCTGGGGAGGGTCAGGTCTTCCTCTAAAGCCCCTGGCTGAGGGGGCAGCACACAGAGTGACCAGCAGTGACAGAAGGCATGCCAATCACCTGGGGGGCAGGGAGGTGTGGGATATTTCAGCTGGTGTTGAGCACCAGTGATATAATAGCTTTGGAATTGAACTGCAGGTCTATATGCAATATCAAACTCTTCCCTGGAAGGATAAGACTGTCTTTATATTTAGCTCAACTTACGCTTTCCAAGCCAGTGGATTCATCCTCGATTGCATTGGGGAGCAGGATGATCATGCTGAGTTCATTACCAACGTAAGGGAGCTCAAGGATTTTGGTCTGTAAGTCCCCAATATAGGTCATGTTAAATCTAGCCTTCTTGAACATCATCTGCACAGGCTTGGTCTCATTCTAAAAATAAAGAGATGTCACCAGTTAGTAGAGAGCTAGTACGCTGTCTCAAAATACACAGCAGGCATCCAGTTACCTGGGGCATTTTAGAATTTGGCTAAAGAAAACTAAACACAGAGTACAGCCCCACCACTGTCTTTTGTAAAGCAAGAGACACAAAGTAAGGATCCCCAAAATTCATTTTTTTAATTACTAATGTGGAAATGCCTGTGACATTTCCTTTTAGGCAAAGAGGTCACACATAAGTTTGCTCACTTCAGAACTAGTGACAAGCACTAAGCAGAGTCGGTAAGATGCAGGGCCCATGCTCCTTGCTTTAAATGAATACAAAATAAATTTTAAAATAGTTATTTTCATTTGTAGTCCATGTAGCTCCAAGCGCTATAGCAAAGAGGAATTCAAATATTTTAAAATGATAATAAAAATGCCAAGAAAGCGAGAGCATTATTTTGAATTCTTAAGTCACATGGATAGTACAGAAGGGAAAAATTTTTCCTCTCCATTTTATTCTCTGGTATCTCCTCCCATTTTCCCATGGAGCAGCAGCTGCTATTGTTTACATCATTATTTCCTCCTTTTCAGTTAAGGGTTTCATTGCTTTCTGCCTCACTTTCATGAGATAACCATGCAAATAATTTCTTGTTTTTAAAATAAAGCCCATTGAAACAATGCCTACAGGAAATACGGTAGAAATTGCTTTGCAGCAGCAATGCCACATGAAAAGGATGGAAAAAGGCCACACAGCTTGTGAAAATCATCCAGTGAATCATAAGAAGTGCAAGAGTCAGAAAATGTCACAGGATGTTGGAAAGGCTCCTGGAATGCTAATGTTAATCTTTGCTATTGGACAGTTAAATAACTAGCTTAAAACTTCAAGGGATTTCCAATCGCTCCTTTGAGCCTACTCACAGACTTCACCAGTACCTAGTCAATTAGTAGCATAAAAATACAAACTTAAGCCATTTAGTTTTACAAGGAAAGCAATGTGCAGTTCTTTGCTGATCTAAAAGCAACATCCCTGGGTGAGCCAAGGCAGCATTCCCCAACTTTAAAACTTTCTCCAATAGTTACCTGGATTCCAAAGGCTCTGATCTTAAAATAATAATAGACTGAAGAAAACTTACATTCAGAAATTCCTGCACATGTAGAAGTGCTCTTTTCTGCCTACAACCTAAAGGAATGTTTCTTTTCTTATCCACACCAGTTTTATGATAAAATAATCAAGTTCACTGACTTCTGTGAAGTCATTCACAACTCTCAAATAGCCTGACAGCTTCACTCAACTGTTGTCTTCTCCCCAATTCCAAATTAACTAGGTAGAGAGCTACTTCTCTAATAACCAAGAAGGGTAAAGGAAAAAAAGTGACAGAATGAAAGAAATATATGATTTTTGTATTGAAGTTTCTAGAAATTGTGTGAAACAACAGAAACTACACAGAGTGTTCCTATTAAAGGAAGGGGTATGAGGAATTTCATACAGCCTATGAATGAAATTCATTTATAGTGCTTGAGTTTCGGTTTTTTGTTGCGTGAATAGTTTTGGTTTTTTGTTGTTTGGGGTTTTTTTTGAGTTAAATGTATTCATTTCAGAGTAACAGTGTATCATCAGCATTTTAACACATCATACCTTGTTAATATGAAATGGCCTTTCTGTTGTACTCTCTTTGTTGAACTGCTCTTCCCAGTTGCCTTTGAAATAGATGGCATTCACCAACACAAGTCTGGTCAGTGAATTGAGAATCCCCTCTGCCAACAGGTTCTGAATTCTACCTTTATGATACATAGGAAAAAGAAAACAATTTTTAAAAATTACATACATGCCACACTTACCTAATACAGTATATACTCTTGTAATTAATACACTATACAGAAGATGATTATGTACCACACAGAGCAAGAGCTCAATGCTTGGGTTCTTTTAATTTACAATATTATATCTTGAAATAGCTGTTTAGCCAAGCCCTGGCTGCCATTAAATACAACAGGGCATTCTGCAAAACGCTCACCTTCAGTCCTTTCCTCTACCCAGCCATTTATTTGTTTTCTGCAATCCTCTGAAGCATTCACGAAGTCAGTCTGTTCTAGTCCAGCATGGTACAGTTTCTGGCTTGACTCTATAAATGACTAACATAGACATTCAGAACAGCTTTTTAACAATGCATTTTACTGTCATTTAGCCACAGATGATTCTTAAATATACCAAGAAAATCTGCCTGCTTCTGTTCCCCAGCTTCATATAGAGCCATTGAAGTTGTCTGACACATTCCTGTTAGAACTAGGAATTGTCCACTGTATGTTAAGGCAAATGGCTTGTTTAACAACTACGCTAGGAAGTTATACACAACTTAATTGAGAATTATGTTGCTAGTTTTTGGGGTTTTTTTTTTTTTTTGCTTTCATGAGAGAACACATGATTTTGTAAGCTTCTCTCTACATAAATTTCATTGTTAAACCTCCCACACTAATAGGAAACCTTTAAGTCAGAGAATACTGACTTTTCTTAGAGAGGAAAAAAAACATCTTGTCCCTAGTTTAATATAGTTAGATCTTTATTACACAGATGTAAAGTTTTAGACTACAGTCAATGTAATTTTTATCTACTAGACAAATGAAACACTACGCATTCTTCATTAAAGTAATCACTGTAAATCACCCCGGGGGAAAAAAAAAAACAAAACAAGCACCTTACATCTTACTGCTTCTAGGGAACCATCTACAGAAACATGTATAACAGTACCTATTATCCTTATTTAGATCATCTGATAAGAAAAGTCTGTCTGATAAGAAAAGTCTTAAGAGTCATGTACTCCTCTTAGTATGTTCTCTGGCTGACTTACATGACAGAAAAGCTGCACCACACTGCCCATACTGAAAAGCAATAACAGTTCTTTTTATTGTATTTACACATGCCCAAGGGAAGAGATACACATCGATCATTTCCTCCACAGCTAAAATGAATGGATCATGGAACCTTGAAGATTTAGTGTTTGATGGCTTTTACAGTGATTTGCACCAGTTGCACCTTCAGATCCTAAGCCATCTAAGAAGAGCTTCCCCATGAAGTTCAGACACTGGGCTTTGGCACAATCCATCATATTGCTCGGCCTCAGCCTAGAAAATTTGAAAAGTAAAACCGAAAGCCTGCCTTTGGCCTCCAAAGGAAACAGGTAGCAAGTACACTATACCAAAAACCACCACAAACTTAAATTGTTACTTACTGAGAGAAACTCAAACGTCTTTTCTCCATAAAGTCGGTTAGCAGTTCTCAGTATATATTTGGTGTTTGGATCGTTAATTTCAGAGAGAAGTGATTGATACCCATTGTGAGCATCCTCACTTTTGTTCAAAGAAAGCACCTGTAGAAAGACAAATACCTTCAGTGAAGTCCATGCCTTCTATAAACACAGTTGCTTCAGCACAGGTATTTTTTTATTTAAAAGTGACTTTTGAGTTTAAGAACTGTGACTTGAAGCCAAAAGATCTTTCATCACACCTCCCTTCTGGAGCTTATTGTGCAAGTCACATATGATGCACCCACCCAGATGTCGTACAAGTAATAGATTCAGTGAAGAGTCAGCAGTATTGAGTTTCCTTTACTCAAGCCAAGCATTAAAGGATCACAAAACAACTGTTGAGGTTGGAAAGGACCTCTAGAGGTCACCTGCTACAACCTCCCTGCTCAAGCAGGGCTATCTACAGCTGGTAGGCCAGGACTATGTCCAGACAGATTTCAAATATCTCCAAGTACAGCAATAATACAATTTTGGAGAAACTTTTATAGATTTAATGAAAGCAAAATGTGTGTTTATACTCCTCTTCCACTTAGTAAAAGAGGCAAACATAATAACAAAAATGACTAATTATGCATTTTTTACATATGCAATTGACAGTATTAAATATGCCAAGTGGTACTTGCCACGTGAGCAAGTTTAAAAAAAATTAATCAAGATGCAGCTACCATTTTTAGATGCATACAGGGTGGATTTTAAATATTTATTTTGTGTGTGTCTAGCTACATTTTCAGAACATGTATAGTCTGATATCAAGCAGATAGAAGTATTATGCAGCTAGAGATATATCAAACCAACAAAAAAACCCCTAGGTATGTCTTAATGAAGGAAGATCTGTCTCAATAAACCTCCAAAACCCCCAAAACAAAAATGAGGAACCTCCTAATTTTACACTGAAGGAAGCTCCCCATATAAAACCAGGTACTGCTTACATACACACCAAAGGAAAACCTCTGCTCTGAGACTCAAATGACAATCATAGTTCAGCATAAGTGCAGGTCACAAGCATAATACAGATTTGCTGTTCATATTTGTTGTTAATACACTAAGTTTATTTACACATACCTTTGCTATTTGGGCCTCAGTGTTACCTTTTGAACCCAGCAAAATCATAGACAAAGCAGAAGAAATACTAAAAGGTGAAAAGAATACATTCTGCCCACTTTTTTCCTCACACAACTTTCTTAAGAGGTCAAGCGCAAAAGTGGTATTTGCTGCACAGAGGCTCTCCATGGTTCAGAGACTGGAAGATAAAACAAAACAAGAACGGCTCAAATTTATCTGAATACAAACTGGTAAGTTACTTCTATCTTCTACCTTTCCCAGTATGAACTATGCAGTAAGTGTCATAATTAGGCTGGAAAATTATCAACTCGCTGAAAAACCGATTTAGTGGAACAAGCACCTTAAATCCCACACTAGGCACTGAAGTTATTTTAAGGATTTTCTTTTTTTGCTTTTCTATTTCAATCACATATCTGTAACAAAAACAGCAATTCCCGCTGGTGTCATTAGACTCTTCACTGGGTAAATAACATTACATCTTTTGAGATTGTTATATTCAAAACCATTTTCTTTATGATTTATTAAAACAAGTCTCTTTCGAGTTCACAATTATTTGCCTTTATGTGAAAACCAGAGCAAAAAGTTAGGCATCAGAACGGCAGAATTAGAAACTCTTACCTTCTCCAAGTCTATGTAGCTTCAGAATTACCTTCAGCTTACTCTTAGGTTTAAAACACAGTGTGCACACGTAACAGTCAGTCTGGTAGCAGTCAGCAGAATGACTTGATCTACAAGATTAAAAGAGAAGAAAAAAGTTATTTGGTCAGCATGATGGATTGCTTTGTACTACAGCAGGAAATTATAGTAAAATCAAAGTCCATTTCAGTTCCAATTTATTGCCTACAACACGGAAACACACATAATGAAAAAACCTGCTTACAGAAAACTTTATGGTACATGCACACTTGAACATCTCTAACTCAATGCCTGTCGTGCTCTATATACATCAGTTGTGTGGTTTAATGTTAGGTTGGTTACCCACCTACACACCCATAAAAGGAGCAATAAATACTAGAATGCTGAGTTTACTACAGATATGCATCACCAGACATCATAAGATATCAGCTAGTAGTAAAGGTTTCTGTGTTCTGCTCTTCCCTTAAGGCAGTGTCATGTAACTAATTCATTATCTCAAACAAATAGGTGGAGAGAACAAGTTTCTGCACGCATGCTATTCCACCGAAGAATATTTCTTTCTAGTAGCTTTGCAATAAACAATAGAAACGTTTCTCCCGTTTCTCTTCTCCCATAACTGAAAGATTAAAACAAAAAAGCAAGCTGAGATGAAAACAATCCTCCAATTCTGTTTGGAAGGAGTAATTTAACTACATGGACTTCACAGCACGAGTACAAGGCACTTAGTATTTTCAGTTCATGTTGGTTACAATGAAGACCAGAGCTTTACAACTGCCCCGATACCTGTCAGATTGCTGGCAATAAGGTTTTTTGACCTGGAGATCAAAATGCACAGGAATGGTGACAACAGCAAACACTATTACCTAGAAGGTTTTTCTAGGGCTTCCATGACAGACAAGAGTTTACAGACAAAAGGCAGTAATTGACACTATTTGCCTACCTAAAAAATCAGTGCATTTAACCAAATTTTAAGTAACATTTCAACAGCCAGAGGACAAGGCTAGGAGTGGTATGTCTACAGTTATCCATACTTTCCCCGCAGCTCATTAATACCCTTCTGATCAGAGTGGTTCCAGAGACAGTACAGGATGACTGCACTTTAAGGAACAAGAAACATACGATACAAGCACATACTTGTCAGTTGCTTGTAACCTTTTTGCGACAAACCCCTCAGTGACAGAAGGTTTGCCCACAACAAATCATTCCTCATTCTGGTCTCCCCAGGCCAGTGGTGAGGCGCCCGTGCGGGTGCTCCTGGATGCCCCTACCCTGTGTATCACTCTCACTATGGATTCAAAGCATATATTCTCAGCAGTAGACACCCAGGCTTTAGAACAGTCTTTATGAACAGAAAGGCTACATCCAGATTAAGCCGCCGACAGACAGTGCAGCATCTCTCCCGGTTCTGCCATGGAGGAACCCGAGCAGAGCAGGGCGCCCCTCTCCTCCAGCCTGCGGCCCGGGAGATACACCCCACCGAGACTAGGGCATCCACCATCGCCTGCTGTGCGCCGGTGTCCCCCATCTCGCCTCAGCCGAGCCACAGCACGGCTGTTTCAAACCCAGTCAGCGGGGGAACTCGGAGTGATGAGCCTCTGGCGGTGCCTACCTCCACACGGGAAGCTGCACAGACACCCCTCTTCCCACCCCCTGAACCCACGCCGCGCTTTCTTGACGGAAAGGGGCGCTCTTTAGGATTTGGAGAGCCGGGAGCGACATTAAAACACTCGCAGGGTAAGGTCTCCCACAGCTGCGGAGGGCGGCTCCCCCACTTCGCGCCTCTCCAGGGGCCGGGGGGTGACGGAGCCCCCCGCCTGGGCCCCACCACCGCCGGCTCCGGGCCCGTGTGCCCCCGCAGGAGGGGAGAGGGACAGGGAGGAGCCCCACAGAGTTGTCGCCATCCCGGTAGCACAAGAAGCCAAGGGCTCGGCAGTCGCCGGGGCGTAGCGCTGGGGAATAGGAAAGGAGGGGAAAGACCCGCCCCCCCACCATGAAACACGTTAAGATTCCACATTTCCGCGGTGTCCCCCTCACTCCTACACGCGGAAAGCACTCCCTACGCACCGCTGCAACTCCCGCTGGCAAGAAGCGGAAATCACGCCACGAAAAAGGGGGGGTGGGGGGACACAGGACCAACCCTGAAAATAATAGAAGGACCCCACGCAGCGTCCGCTTCCTTAAAAAAAAAAACAACCCGTAAGTTTCCAGTAGAAAACGACACCTGCCGGAGAGCGGAACCGCCCCACTCACCCCGCCGGGCACCGCGCTCCCCTCCTCCCAGATCCAGCCCGCCCTTGTTTCCTTCCCTTCCCCCGGAAGCATTGCCGAGCTGGGGGGAGAGAGATGGGGGAAGCTCGGCCCCTCCTCGGCCGCGCCCCGGCCTTAGGCCAAAATGGCCGTTTGGACGCCGCTGTCAGGGCGGCGAAGCGCCACAGCCCCAGGGGGTAAAATGGCTGCCGCCCACCGCCATGGAGGGGCCGCCCACCCCTCTCGCTGCCTTTATATCTCGGCGGGCCTCGCCTGGCCGCAGGGGGTGATTTTTCACCTCTGTCTCCCTCTGGTGGCAGAGCTGACAGAAAACACTAGTCCGCGAGCAGTTATTATTATTAATAATCATTTTTGAAGCGGGGGTGGCTTTGAGTGAAAGTGATGTGTTGCTGCACCCCAGAGACCGTATGGGCTTGGCCCGTGCCTCGTGTACCTGCGGCTCTGAGGGGGACAAGTTGCCCTTATAAACGTGTATTTTGTAATTATTTTTTTTAAGGGAGTAGGAGTGACATGCGAAGCTGGTGAGGGCTCAGGTGGGGTGTGGAAGGAAGGCAAGGCAATGGCGGCAGGTGGTGGGCAGGGAGGGCTTTACTGCTTCCAGCTGTAAAGCAAGGACCTAATGGAGGGGTCAGTAGGAGCTGGGTCTAACTGCTGTGGGGTGGGAGTAAGTGCTAAGAACACACCTGAATCAGGTGAGGGTGAGGAGGGGGCCACTGTTAGCCTACATTTGTACACACGTCCGTGAAGGGATAGAAATGCCATAGCTATAAGGGTTTAAGGGACAGAGCTACTCTTGATGGCCTGGTGTGCTGTGGTAGTCCTTTCTGCTGTTCCACAGGGCAAGGAGTAACTCTGACTAGGGTGAGCAGAGTCTGCCAAAGAAGAGGATGGTTTGGGATTTGTTGTGTTTGATAAAGAAGAGGAAAGGGTGGTCAGCTTTAAAAGTCATTGCTGGTGCTTTTGATCTCAGCACCAGGACACCTGTGGCAGCTGCTGCCTCAGTACCTTCTTCATTGACCTCCACAAAAGCTTTGTGAATAACTTTTGAGATGACAAGGTCCTTCTTAGCTGACATCCCTGTGAAATCAGCGTGAACAGGGTCAAAAGCATTTCGTATCCCCATGCTGCTCAAAGTGGATTTAAGGTCGTAATTCTCTTCCAGCTTCAACTTGGGCAGGTACAAATCCACTTCAGCTTTTATCATGTTGGCTGTTTCGGTCCATTCAGCCAGTTTCCTGTAGGTCAGCTCTCTTTCCACCTGCAATGAGTGAGATCAGGCTGTCAGTAACTTACACCCTATGTCCTTAAAGGTGGTGAGGTATAGGCCTGAACCGTCAGAGTAGTTTGTTATTTTTTCTCTGGTGTGAAGAGTATTGCTTTTTTGCAATGTGTGACCGATAATGCTAATAATAAGCACTTACTATGTGAGTGTATGGATTATTTTCCTCTTAGTAGCAGTAAGTAACTGGAACACATGGGACCAGGTACAAATAAAAAGATGTTTGCCCTGATCTGTTTAGAATCTGAGACTCATCCTGGCATGGTCATGAGTGGCTGTTGATACCTTCTGAGTCAGGGTAACCAGCACTTAGTTTGAGAAGCCTCACCACAAAATATCAGGTGGAAATACAGATTGAAAATGACATAAAAATTAATTAATGCAGCCCTCAGAAGAAGATAACTCCAGGGCAAATTCAGATTTGGTTCTTGCTTTCCCTATGCTATTTCAGCAATAGAAAAGGGGACACAAAACAGGCAAAGTCAGTTGTGTGGACAGACATTTTAGGTGTGCCCCTAAGTAAAATGCTGTATTTGCAATGTTATCAGATGCACTGAATCCTAAGCTGAGAAGTCATGGTGTTATACTTTATGAAACACACACAGTACGCACACATCAGAACCTATTCTGCCATGATTTTGAAGCTTGTTCTTCCTCACTCTTTTCATCTGTTTCTGTTACTGTCTCATAATGTATGTGATGGAACAGTAGGTCAGTTTTACCCGCTCCAGACCGGTGGTGTTATCATTGATGTCATCTGGTAGGAGAATGAACATGCTGAGTTCATTTGCCACATATGGCAGCTCAATGATTTTGAATTTCATGGTTGTTTCATGGAATATAAGAAACATATCTCTCAGAAACATCATCTGTACTGGTTTAGTCTTGGTCTGTGAAAAATTCAGGCATAAAAAATAGTGTTACTTCATTCCCTGAAATGGATGATAAAGATTACTTGCTTCACTGAACTGAAAACAAAAATTCATAAACAAATACAAGTCTCAGCAGCATTTGCATACTCAGTACCCTCTCCTTTGGACACCACCACATACACCCCCTTTTCAAAGCCATGGGGATCAAAGCCACGTACGGTATCTACCTGATGATTGAATCACGTTATATGGACCCCATGCTAGAACAGGTGGTTGTGCCCTGAAGGACAATGCAACCCAGGGAGACCCCACTCAGGAGCAAGGTCCTGTGACCCCATGGAGAGGAGCCCACTCAGGAGCAGGTTTACTGGCAGGACCTATGACCCTGTAGGAGACCCATGCTGGAGCAGTCCATTCCTGAAGGACTGCACCCCATGTAAAGACCCATGCTGGAGCAGTTCTTGAAGAACTGCAGCCTCTGGGAAGGTCCCACATTGGACGTGAAGGGCTGTATCCTGTTGGTGGGACCTCACAATGAAGCAGGGGAAAGGTGTGAGGAGGAAGGAGCGGCAGAGACAAAGCATTATGAAGTGACCACAAGCCCCATTCCCTGTCCCCCTGTGCTGCTTTGAGGGAGTGAGGTTGAGCCTGGGAAGAAGGAAGGGGTGGAGGAAGGTGTTTTATATTTGGTCTTATTTCTCATTATCCTACTCTGGTTAATTTGCAATAAATTAAATTAATTTTTGTAAGTCGAGCCTGTTTTGCCCATGGTGATAATTGATAAATGATCTCCCTGTCCTTATCTCATCCCGTGAGCTTTTTGTCCTGTTTTTCTCCCCCTGTCCTGTTGAAAAGGGGGAGTGATACAGCGCCTTGGTGGGCACCTGGCCAAGGTCAGCCCACCACAACCATGTACCACGATGGATCCTAAACGCGCACAGGTGGCATAGTAGGTTTCGGATACACAGTCTGAATCACTGAACACAAAGACACAATCACTTTGAATTTCCTGGCGTACAAAAGGTGTTTGCACTCATAATCTATGTCAAACAAGATATATGCTTCCACTGACAAATAATTGTGCTTGCCTTCGACACAGTCCAAAAGTATGCTTCCAGTCAGCTACTGTGCATTGTCAGGGCATGATCGGTTAAATACTGTTAGCTCAGTAGTGTGCCCTCAGCTTACACCGAATACATCATCCTCACACACTCAGCTAAAATGACAAACCCCAGGCAAATTCCCTTTGAGGTTTTTAGGCAACACCCAGGGCGCGTGAGGAAGGAGCAGCTGGTTCAGTTTCGTTGAACTTGGAGTACACACCGTGTCTCAAAAGCAGAAAGGAGACGTAGGTGTGTACGCGGGGCTCTCAAAAGCAACTCCCTCCTGTGTGAAAATGGGACCTTGGTACTTAAGGAAATTTCTTCTTAGTTAGCCACAGTGTTCTCAAGTGTTTTGATACCGAGCAGCTCTTAATTAAAGTGAAAATCATATTCTTGTGGATATGTGTAAATAAGATGATGCGGATTTATTTTCACAATTGCCATTCTCACTGGGTTTGTGCCATGTGCCCAGCTACGAGTAGTGTTGCAGTGGTATATGAAATGCAGGTGAAATATTAGAGATTTCTTGCTCTTCAGTAATAGACATATTGATACATCACAATAGGCATATAGAAAAGGAATTTACCTTGCTCAGTCTGAAGGGCCTCTCAGAAGTATTTTTTTCTAGAAATTTCTTTTCCCAGTTTCCTTTGAAATAAATGGCATTTACTAAGACCAATACCGTGTGAGAATCGACAGATCCTGCAGGCAGCAGATCCTGGATTTTCCCTTCAAAATCAGACAAATAGGACTGTTATTCCAGTGTGACTGTTTAACTTGCCAATTTTAATTGTGCCTTCTTTGTACCTACCTATCTAGCAAAAATGTTTGCATTTTGGAGATATTTTATGGTACGTTTTTCATGGTATACATATGGTAAAAATGGCTCTATTTTTTTTTTTTTTTTTTTTTAAATATTGCAATTTCAGTAGTAAATGGCATTGGGAAGTGGGTGAAGTGGAATAGCCTGGATGTTCTGTGAAGTTGGTTGCAAGCAGCTGAAGAGTGCAGAAGTAAAATCCTCACTAATCAAAGCAGAGCCACTCAGTATCTACCTGTGCCTCCCTCTGAAAAGCAATAATTCAGAAGAGGCTACAGCATGAAGAATCAAGAGAAGAACCTTGTCAGGAGCAGCAGTTAGTTTTGGAGAGAGGCATGCTTCAAGCTATTTAACTGCACTTTGCTTGGCATCTCCCCTCAGTTTCCATCTTTTATGGATCCTTGGCTGCAAGAGCAATAAATGTGGAAATACAAATTATTTGAAAGTGAAACAAGAAAAAAGCCATCTAAGTGGTACTTACTCTCGGTTTTATTTTCAACCCAGGAATTGATCAGGGCTCTGGCTTGTTCTGCAGCTGTCTTAAAGTTTACAGCTTGTGGCTTTGCATTATAATAGCTTGTAATGAGCTGTAAGAATTTCTGAAAGATAGAATTGGAAAATGTATGCTTATTTAGTTAAATTTGAGTTATAAAAATGTTAGAAAGGATCACTTCAATAGTCTACACTATCTGCACTACAGATAGTGCAGATACTACTATCTCTACTATTAACAGTACAGTCTGCTACTACGTAATTGAAGTAAATATAAATTGTTTGAAATTGGATAAGCCTTAAAATAAGGGTACATTCTATGTTAAATATATTCTATATTAAATAAGGACCGATCAAGCTTCAGTCTCAAGGAAACTGATACTTCAGTTTTTTTCTGTTTGAAATCAAAAGTGCAAATTTGTAATTTTGAAATACCCCATGAAACAAACATTTTTGCAATTGTTTCAGGATTTTCAAAATGACATATTATTTAAGTACTTTTTTCCTGCTTTATGACGTAGAATTCAGTACAAGAGGGAAGAATGGTCTCA